GTTGAAAATAGATAGTTCTCCCCACTGAGAATACTGCCATCATTATTATTCATCATCTCTGATACTAGAACTATGTTTCCGAATTCCCAGGGCCCAATGCCCTTCAAAAACATAATCAATAGCCCACCTAACTGCTGCCACCATGTCAGCGCTATGACTACCCACATAGAAAAAAACAGAGCAACTCAAATTAATTGCCCAGTGATACACCTCAGAATCCTAGAAAAACAAAATCAACATAAATCCAACTACCAGTAGTACAGGAAGGAAACTTTAAAGATCAGTACAGAAACCTGTAAAATCAAGACCAAAAAAGTACATAGGATCAAAGGATCAAGGAGCTGGTTCTTTGAAAGAATGAGCAAAATAGAGCAACCCTTAGCCAATACTACTTTAAAAAAGGAAAACAAAGATCCAAATCAATACAATAGAAATGGAAAAGGTGAAGTCACAATGGTCACTGAAGAAGTTGAGAAGATTATTAGCAATTATATCACAAACTTGTATTCTGATAGATTAAAGAATTCAAACAAAATGGATAAGGGGCTGGGGAGATGGCTCAGTGGAATAAGCGCTTCCCTGGCAAGCACAAGGGCCTGAGTTCAATCCCCAGTTCCACCAAAAAAAAGAAAGAAAGAAAGACAAACAAAATGGATACATATGAATTAACAAAACTGAACCAAAAAGATTTAAAAACCATGAGTAATCCAATAATAGGCAATGAAATTGAAGCAATAATAAAAACCAACAACTAAGAAAATTCTGAATCACAATGCATTTGCTGCTAAATTCTACAAGAACCTCATAGGTGATCTAAGTCCAGTACTCCTCAAACTCTTTAATGAAAAATGAAAGTGAAGGCATACTCCCAAAGCTATTCCTGGAAGCTAACGTTACCCTGATTCCAAAACCCAACAAAGATCCAACCATAAAAGAGAAACATAGGCCAGTCTCTTTAATGAACATAGATGCAAAAATTCTCAATCACATATTGGCAAACCAAGTGCAGCAAGTCATCAAAAAGTTGCTATATCATGACCAAGCAGTCTGCACCCCAGGGATGCAAAGATTATTTTATCTACACAAATCAATAAATATGGTACATCCCATACACAAAACCAAAAACAAAGGATGCAGGATTATCTAAACAGATGTATAAAAATCCTTTGACAAAATTTAACATCCATTCATAATACTAACTCTAAAGAAAATAGGTATAAAAAGACTTTATCTCTATCTAATAAAAGTTATGTATGAAAAACCTACTGCTAACATCATATTAAATTGGGGAAACTGAAAGCCTTCCCTCTAAAATCAGGACCCAGACAACAATTGCCCATTGTCTTCCTCTTGCTCAACATAATCCTCAAAACAGTAGTCAGGGCAATCAGGCTAGAGAAAAAAATAAAAGCAACATGTACAGGCCAGAAAGAAGTCAAACTCTCATTATTTGCACATGGTATGATCTATATAAAATACCCAAAAGCTTGTACCAAAACACTCCAGAAGCAATAATCAAATTCAGTAATGTAGCACGATACAAACCAAGTACAAAAATCAACAGCCTCTCTCTACACAAATAACAAACTCACTGAAAAATAAATTAGGAAAACAATATCCACAATAGCAGCAATAAAAATTAAATACTTGAAACTAACTCAACTAAGGAAATGAAAGATACAAAGGAAGATCAAAGCAGATATCAGAAAATTGAAAGATATCCTCAGTTCCTGGATAGGCAGAACCAGTATTGTCAAAATGGCCATACTTCAAAACTGCTATTCAGATTTAACACAATCCTAAGCAAAATACCAACAGCATTCCTCAAGGCACTGGAGAAAACAATCTTCAAATTCACATGGAACCCGAAGAGAACCCAGAATGGTAAAGGAGATCATGGGTAATAAGAGCAAACAGCCTGTATCATAATACCTGACTTCAAGTTATACCACAAAGCTTTAGTGATAAAAACAGCCATGTGAGGGCCCAGGGAGACAACTCAGTGGCATAATCGCCTGCCTGGCAAGCGCAACATCCTAAGTTTCAGTGCTGGTAAAAAAAAAAAAAAAAACAAAACTAGCAACATGGTAAAGGGCAGACATGTAAGCCAATGGAACAGAGTAAAGGATGCAGAAACAATTCCCACACACATTCATCTTTCTTGTCTTTAACAAATAGAACAAAAACATACACTGGAGAAAAGATAGTTTCTGTAATAAATGATGCCAAACACTATTAATACAAATCTTTCTTCTTAAAAAAAAAGTTCTCCTCATTGCATCTTGTACTATGAATAACTACTATGAAGACAACAATATGCAATGTAGTAATTATTGTAACTGCCCTATTAACCTATTTTGAAACTGTCTCATTGCTCTTTCTTTCTCAATAAAATTAATTTTAAAAATATTGTCCTAAATTTAGAAGTAATTAAGTAAATCCTTACCCTTATGTCTACTTTAATATTAAACTTAAAATAACTCTAGACTATATTAAATAAAAATCCTTTATCTCTCTTTTAACATCAAAATATATATAAATAAAGGATGCTAGTAAAACTGGTTACCCACAAACATAAGATTAAAACTAGATCCATATCTCTGATCATGCACTACACCACTAAAATGAAAAATGGCTAAAAGATGTTAAAACAGAAAGACTTAACCTTCAGAAAGATAAAATAGTTGACACTTTTGGTGACATTGGTATAAGCAAGGACAGTCTAAAAAGAACTCTAATTGCACCGGAAATAACATCAAGAATCAACAAATGGGATCATAGCAAATTAAAGAGCTTCTGTATTGCAAAAGAAACAGCCATCAGAGTGAAGAGACAACTTATAGGATGGGAAAAACTTTGCCAGTTATTCTTCAGATGGAAGACTAATATCCAAACTATATAAAGAATTCAAAAAAATTAGATGCCTCAAAATAAAAGACCCACATTTTTTAAATGGGCAACTGAAAAAAGCAGACACTTCTCGGAGGAAGTACAAGTGGCCTACAAACACATGGAAAATTGTTCAGCATCACTGGCCATTACGGAAATGCAAATCAAACAACACTGAGATTCCATCTTACCCCAGAAAGAATGGCTACCACCAAGAAATCAAATAATAACAAATGCTGGAGAGGCCATGGGGTGAAAGTACTTCTACATTGTTTCTAGGAAGATAAACTAGTGCAGGCACTATGGTCATTAGTATAAAGAGTCTTCAAAATTTAAACTAGAAATTCCACTTGGCTCAAATGTTTCCCTTCTAGCTATTTTCCCAAAAGAGTTAAACATATCATGTTACACCAAGACATGCATGCCAATGAGTAGAGTGGCACAGTGCACAATAGCTAAATACTAGGAAATAGCCTGCTCATCAACAGATGAATTCATAAAGAAAATATGGTAGTTATACACAGTGCAGTACTTCTGTGCCAGAAAGGAGAAACTTTTTTGAATAACATATGGTTTCTAATAAAGAGCAAAATAAGATAATAGGAAGAAAAGAGAGAGATATTTTGCAAAAGTGAAAGAGATCAAGAGATGGAGGAGGGAGGAAAGGGGAATGTGATTTAAACAACAACAACAACAATTGAGACCGTTGTTTCTCTTTTTTAAGCAGGGATGGGGATTGGTGCTAGGAATTGAACTTGGAACCTTGGGCTTGCTAGGCAAGTACTTGTGCCACTGAGCTATATCCCACCCCCTTGAGATGTGTTATGGACAGTTAGCAACTCTCCACAAGGAATATGATCTACAAACATATGCTCGCCTCAACAGCACTCACACTAAAATGGACTACACACATGCACTAATGAGAAAATAATTGAAAAAGTTGGGAAAGGCTGGGGAGATAGCTTAGCAGACAAAGCACAGGGACCAGGGATCAATCCCTGGTCCCAGGACATGCTGAGCTGGCGACAGAGTCCAGGTGTGCTAGCGCATGCCTGTAGTCCCCAAGCTGGGGAGGCTGAGAACAGGAGGATCAGTACAAGTCCGAGCTGCACAGTGAGACCCTGTACCAGACACACAAATGAAAAAAAAAAAAAAAACTGGGAAAGTATAAAAAAGCAAATGAAAAGGACTCTCTGATTTAAGTAAAAATTTTTAAATAAAAGCATATACTATATATTTTCATGACTTTTAAAAGGGTAAGAATATACAGAGCAATCATGTAAAATTGCTTAATTATTAACAATATCTGACATTTGCTGATTACTTCTATGAGCCTGACAAAGGTTTTGGGTGTTATATGATCCCTCTCAAAATTCTGCGAAAAGTCAAAATTACTGGCTCTGAAGGGATTACATACATGAGTAAATGCTACTAGGATTAGTAGCTGTGGTTCATGCTCTTAAACTTTATCACCTGTGGACTCTTGAGTGAAACAGGCAGCAAAAATAAGAGGGCAGTTGGCCTCGTCCATTTCTAGCCAAAATGAAGTACTAGAAGCAGGTATATCCACCTACATTAAGCAATTTAGAAAGCAGGCAAAATAAATAAAGCCACATCGGTTCACATGCTGGATAACAGCCATTATGATGACCTCTGAGAAAGAGGGAAATTGACACCAAGGAGCATCATAACCAAGATGTTAAGAACCACTGATGAAAAAGAAAATCTTAAAAATAATCCCATTGTACACAGAGCACAAAACACAAGCATGACAAGTTTCTTTTTAGAAACGGTACAAGTAGAAAACTACATCTTTAAAGCACTAAAAGAAAAAATAGTTTAAAATACTAAAAGAAAAGAAATCAATCTTGGGGCTGACCAGATAGCGCAGTGGACTAAAGCACCTGCTTAGGCAGAGCCCAGCATTGGGGTTTGATCTCCCACATGCCAAGCCGGCCTTCCCCCCGGGGTGCACTAAGAAGGCAATTGAGACTGGGTGTGGAGGCAGGAGCCTGTAATCCCAGCTCCTGGGAGGCTGAACACAGGCGGATCACTATGAGTCAGATCTACGGTGTGAGACCCTGTAGACCCTGTACTAAATACAAAAGAAAGAAAAGAAAAAAAATCAACCTCGGGGCTGGGGAGATAGCTCAGTTGAATATGTGCTTGCCTGGCAAACACAAGGGCCTGTGTTCAAACCCCAGTTCCGCCAAAAATTAATAAATAAACCTAGAGGCGTCAGTCCATCATTAACAATCTGGGATAGCAACACCTGGTGCTGACAAGCAAGAGGGAAGACTCTAGCAAGGATGCCAAGAACACACAATAAGAAAAGAACAGTCTCTTCAGCAGATGATGTTAGGAAAACTCGATACCCACATATCTAATCATGGTGTGCTTGCCCCAAGCCCTCTGTAGTAAATCCGTGCTGTTTACAAAGCAAATCCAGGCTGTACAGTGAGTCTGCAAGCCCTGTACGGTCTGACTGCTCACCTGCTCACTCTGCATGGCTTCTTGAACGCTAACATTGGCTCATCAGATACACCTTAAAGCACCATCCTCAGCCCTTGACTCTTCCTAGGTCCTGCTATCCAGGGCATCTGGCTGCCACTTCACCTCTGACCTGCTGCAGAGCACCTTCCGGTTTTCTATACTGCGGCAGACAGAGCTGTGCATCTCAAGGTCAGCAGGGGGCGCCATAGCACCGAATAACCACTTACAGGACACCACAACCTTGTTATGGGCCTGTTGGAGCACTGGGCTCAAGTCTGGCACCAACAGGCAGGACTTTGCCATAACCTATAGTCATATTACTCAATCTGTATTTAATTACTTAATTTTGTGTCATTTGGGTCTTTTAATAAATAAATAATATTATTTACTTATTTACTTCAGCAAAGTGGGTAACATTTTAACTAAAAAATTTATCACATTAACAAGACACACAGTTATAAATGGATAGACACAAAAAGTCTATAATCCATTCTACAATAAAATGTTTATCTCTTTTTCTTTTGACTCTCAGGTAAATTTTTGTTTCTGCAAAAAAGGCATTCAAAACAGTATAAAACACATTGAAAGGATTACTGAGTGAGATTGAAGTGGAGCTCGACTCTGCAAAGACTAAGTCCAAAGGGAAGAGGCTGTCTTGTTCCTGGGCGGGGCCACTGGCTGCACTGAAAGAAAGGGGCCCGCTGGCACAGACTGATGCCAGGTACAAAGCCAAGTCCACCCAATTCCAATCCCTCAGAGGGCCAAACTGTGCCCAGGGAGCAGCCCGTGGTGTTGCTGTGGAAAGAGGAGTCGCAGAGCTGTGTGACACATTCCGGATGGAGATCAGGGATGGATGAGCTTGGAATTTGAAATGGATATTCTGGTTTCTGCTCTGCTGATCAGTGGATCTTCAAACATGGCTGCGGGGAAGGTGCCAAATCTTGGCTCCTGGAGCCTTTCCGGTGAGAAATTCATCAAAATCTCACAAGCAGTGTCCTCAGCTGGTAAGCCCTCCCTCTGGAGTTCCCAGACCTGGCACTGAGGGTTTCCCTACATAGGCCAGGTAAGGCTGCAGTTCAATCAGGTACACACAGAAAGCAGGGCTTGCCCACCTAATCCGCACTGTTGTGGAAACATGAGCCAGAATTTTACAGAAGAGCTGGGTGGGCCTCCCTTTGCAGGGCTTTTTGGGGGGATTGGACGGGAGATTGGTGGCTTGGTTTGTAATTTTTTTAAAAGGACGTTATAGACCAGCATCAGAATTTGAACCACCTCCCGTGCAGGGCAGTGTGACGTGGGAAAAGAAAAACCACCAGAGCCATTTCTTCTTTGCAGAAAAGATGGGACCTGAGTCTTAGGAAGTGATCCATGAAAGATAAACCGAATGCCGACAGCGTAGAGTTGCAAGCGCACAGGAGGAAGGGGGACCACAACCGTTTGTGTAACCTTATGGGCTAAATGTAACTTGAAGATTTGGGGCAAATTTGGACAAGAAAAGAAACCCCATGCTTCTGAAGTGGATTGCAGCAGTGATTTTTAAGAAAGCAGAACTAGAACACCTGAAATTTTTAATCCTTTCTTTACAGGGTACAAGATAACTTTTGATTAAGAAAATAGTAGAAAGTTAGTAACTGCCACAAGTGAACACCAGGTGGTGGCATGTGTCAATTTTCAACAGAGTCCTGCTTTGTGGGATGTCTGCATGCCTTGCGCGGGGTCTCTGCTCACACTTAATGGAATCATTTGAAACAGATGTTAGTCCACAGGTCACTTTTCCCCATATTTCTTTGTAAACTCTTCAGCATTCTTACATAATTTTTTACGGTCCTTAAGTATTCTTCAGTTAGGTCAGGCCAGGGCGAGTGCTCAGGCTGGGGGTCATTCACCAGAGCTATGAAGGACTGGGTTGCTTGGTCACTGGCTTCCAGTTCTCAGCACTAATTACTGGCAGGCAAACTTGCCCTTTTTCATCAATGTTTGGGTGATAGAGCTTTGTTTTAAATGTGACCTTTGGTGGTTTGAATGGATACTCTGCTGGAAAGTTGATTTCAATTCTAAAGGCCCCCTTATCATACAGAGGGTTGTCCTTCATCAGCCTCCTGCTGACCACCATCTTGGATCTCAACAAAATGTTTATTTCACATTCAGATTCTTCCCTTGATATTTCCAGTGCTTTCATTTAAATGTGTGCATTAAATGGTTTGTATTTAAAGGTTACCATAGACAACAAAGGCAAGAAACAGAAGAATGGAGAACTCCATGTGAATGGAAGTGCAATACAAGAAAAAATGGGGTTTGTTTGTTTGTTTGTTTGTTTGTTTTTGAGGCAGGGTCCACTATGTAGTGCAAGCTGACCTTAAACTCATTCATATAGCCCAGGCTGGCCTTGAACTCAAAGTATTCCTCCTCCCTCAGTCTCCCAAGTGCTGAAACTATAGGCATGGGCCACCATGCCTGACTCAACAATGTACATTATGAGGCTGGTTACAACAGGTCCAAATGGAGCTCAATCAATGAATGGTACAAGCAATATTGAAAACACCTCACACAAAAGCAGAATCAGGGCCAGCGAGATAGCCCAGCAGACTAAGAGCATGCTTAGGTGAGCGCAGGGACCAGGGTTCGATGCCCAGCACCACATGCCTCACCAGCTCCACCCCCAGGTGCACTGAGCCAGCCACAGAGCCTCAGTGTGGTGGAGCACACCTGTAATCCCAACACTGGGGTGGCTGAAAACTGGAGGATCACTAGAGTTGGAGCTGAGTAGTGAGACCCTATACCAAACGCATACAAAACCAGACCTGTATGGAAACTACAGTCTGAGTGAGACCAATGATGCAAGAAGAAAACTTTCCACTTTCAAAGAAAAAAAATACTTGTATGGACAATTCAGGTATAGCTTTCATGGTGGAATGACAAAAATAACTGTGATGTGTAGCAATGACTGAGATCTCTGAAGGCAAATGCTACAAGACAAGCTTGATGAACTATTGAATGCATAAAATACATGCTTTCAAACAAATGAAGAGAATCCAGAAGCCGTGCAGTGGCTTGATGGAGCTGTAATCATAAAACATGATTTTAGAACAACTTCTGTCTGAAAGCAGTGAGATTCAGGTACTTTAAACAACTTGCCCGGATGTGTTAGTTAAACACTACATAATAGTAATGCATTGATGAGTCTCCTAAAACCCAACCACTCCCAGCTAATCCACCTGCAACGCTGGCTACAGAATGCCTATGCTGAAGAGGAAAGGACCATTTTGCTAAGAGTTTGTGAGCTGCAGGCAGAATTGATATTTCAGTAAACAATACCTATCCTTGGTTGAAAGAACTTGTTCTTATATTTTATGTTCTATTTTCTGTACGTGTGATTTAGTTGATTTTTTTTTTTTTTTTAGTGGTATCAGGGATTGACCTCAGGACCTTGTGCTTGCCAGGCAAGCACTTATTCCACTGAACTATCTCCCTGTTTTTTGTTTGTTTGTTTGTGATTTTTCTTTCTTACTGAGAGTATCACCATACTGGTGAAGCACAATCCTGGAATGTGAGCCAGGAAGAAACACAAATATTAGTTAGCAGCTGGCTTTAAAGGACAGATTCCTTCCTTGTGTCTTCTTCCAGAGGCTGCCTCTGGAGAAACCAAGTTTAAAAACTAAGAGAAAAGAACCTTTCTAGTCCATCTTTCCCCCTCTCAAAGCTTGGACTCCACCTCTACTTCACTGGTTAAATGGGGGAGTAACTCCTGCCTTCTTACCTCCATTGTTCTTATAGGAGTCTGATAAAAGTATAAAGACTTGGGAGGGCAATGTGTCACTTCAAATTGCCAACATCCCAAAGTATATGAGGGAAGAACTGTCCCATCACAATGGACTGCTGTCAGTTGGGGAGCCAATGAAGGAGAATTCTGCTCAGAGGTAGGAGCTAGGACCATCCAGGGCCCAGTCTGGTAGTCACCAAAAGCCCATCTTATCCATGCACACAAGAACTGAAAGCATCCCTGTGGCATGTGACTCACAGAACAGTCTTGGCCAGGCAAGGCAAGCAGGTGAGGAGCCTTGGCCTACAGCAGGACAAGGGTACTTCCTCTGTCCTATAACCAGCAGGTGAAAGGAACTAATGGTGTGGGACAGACGAAACGGTGCAAGGTCTGGAAGAGCCAGCTTTACATGGGTTTGGGAGGAATCCAGGGCTTTCCTCATCCGAGGCTCCACAGCAAGTAGGAGAGCACTATAAAGACAAAATTAGAGAAAAAGCAGGGCTGCAAGGTAAGCCAACATTTTGGCCCTAGTCTTCTAAGGTCAAGTAAGACTCAGGACATATGAGAACTTGTACTGTAACGTCATGTAACTCAGTAGTGTCCCAAATTTTCTGACCAAGGAGATTATGCAGCCAAAGAGGAAAGTGATTGATGATGTAGAGTGTGCCTAAGGAGAGTCACATGGAGAGAATACATTCTTTCAGGCTTTCACGGAGAACGCATTGGCCAAGCAATGGCCGTGACTCATCCACATGGCTGACACTCACAAAGGTTCTACAATCTGAGGTACAAGATCTCAGGATAAATCCTGAGGGGATTTCACTGACCTTATCAGACCCAAAAGCTACAGCTCTTGTTGCATAGGTCCTGCTTTACCTTGGTCTTAACCATCCAACAGAAAAGTATAAAAACGAAAGATAAGAAGTAAAGCCATGCTGTTATGTTGAGCTGTTGGGGACGTGGGTCAACAATTTCTGACATTGCAGTTAAGCAGAAGACCCAATACTATTATGGGCTACTGGACTCTTTTAGAATATTTTGCTGAGTTTACACACCTATAATATTCAAATAATGGAACTTAACAAAAAAAGGGGATACAGATGAATGTCCATTTTCTATCTGTGTATTCAAAGTGGTTAGGATAGATATATAGTTACATTCTCTTAATGAATAGAAGGATTTGTTCTAATGGTGTTTGTCAATAGGATATCAAGTCCACATCTTGTACAGCAATTAACCACTAAGAATGTATCCACTGTGTTAATTATTGAAACTGTCCTACCGATTTGATTTGAAACTGTCTCATTGCTGTTTGTTTATCAATAAAATTATGTCAAAAAAGGTTTAAAATGTAATAAATAAATAAATTGTTGTTTGTAAAAAAAAATGAAAGAAAGAAAGAAAAGAAATCAACCAATAACAAATGCTGGAGGGGGCTGTGAAGAAA